TTAGATCCTTATATACTGTTTCTTTTTATACTTTATATTTTTGCTATTTTTGGGTGTAACTGGGCCCTTGAACACAATTTCGTTCCACCTCGTGTACTACACACGTGATGCAAATGACAAAGAACCATTAACCTTCAAGATCAGTACTGATGAAAAGTCCTCTGAAAAATTACAAAAAAGTACTACAGTACAATCACTTTTACTTGGTTATAAAACAAAAACAAAAGTAGCAACTTAAAAAGGTATAATAGATGCAACAAAGTGGGTGAGGCACGAAAAAGAAAAGCTGCCACCACTTTGTTCATAGTACAACTACTTTTGATAAAACAAATGTCTGTAAAATACATCACAAAATGCCCTAAAATAAAATTCTCATGGTTATTTATATTACGGCACTCCTTTTGCAACATTTCTGCGATCCTTTTAGCATCTGTGTGCCAAAGATGTTTGGCAGGACAGATCAACATAAAATGTTTGTACAGATAGTTCTTCTTCTGTGACCCTTCTCTGACCCTCACTATTGTTAATCTTTATGTTACTGGGGCTTATGTACTAGAGGCTACTTAAAGATTCAAAGCAAGTAAAACTGAATGCCCTGCAAAGGCATCGCGTCTGCTGTGTTTAAACAAAAATTTTCGTACACATTGTTAAAGATTTACAAATCAGCCACAACATTTTGACCACTCAATGACTTAAAAAAAAAAAAAAGATTATCTTGTTAGTGGCAGAAAGTGAACGTTCTGTCCTTGAAGTGGCAAACCTGAGGTTGGAGGGGATTTGACAAAGGATAATAACTACATAATAATCAGTAACTACACTTCGTATAGGATGTTCTTGATCTACAAACAAACAAGAACAACTGATGGACAATTGGACCCAAGGGTGACGCTTGTCATACAATACAACTGAAGCGTTATTGTTACTGGTTGTTTTAAACACTTAGTATAATTTTTATTAGAAAGGTGTCAAGACACAAAATATATCATGTTTGTCGTGTATGAAGCTGTAAAGCCACAGACCCTTTGTGAGATCCCATGTCCAACATCAAGACACTATAAATGGACGCACGAGCATCAGAACTTAACCACAGACTTAACAAAAAGATGCTGTAAAAAATATCTTTCCTACTTTGGATGACCAGGATTGAGTAGTTCTCTTACTTGTAAAAGACAAGAACCAGGAGAAACTAAGCAAAAAAAAAAAAAAAAGATCCAAGAACAGCATGGAACTTTTTTTTTGTAATCTTCGGCTGAGAAACTTAGGATTCTGTCCTTTTTGAATGTTACTTTAAGACGTATAAAACCCTAAACTTTGCTGGTGACCAAGTACACCTCTCTATGGAAACAACATTCCCTGATGACTGTGTCATCAACAAAAATGGTTCAACAATAGTTTGAGGAACACAAACAGCACAAGGTGTTTACTTGGCCTCCATGTTCTCCGATCTCAATCCAATTAGCCATCTTGTACAGGACAAACAAATCCCGTCCGCAGAGCCCCCTTGTAACTTACAGGACTGAGAGAATCTCTGCTATTGACAACTTAGTGCCAGACGCCACACAAAACCTTAGCAGGTCTAGTGGAGCCCTGGTTTGATGTAGAAGTGCTGTTTGGGTGGCAAAAACGTGAACTTACTCATGATGATATGACATGTCTTAACAGAGTATGTGATGCGTTTTGTCCATTAGTCACCAAGAGGAATAAGAAATTGCTGAAGTCATTCTAAGATTGACTATAAATAAAGTAAAGTGTGTTCTAAATGCAAACGTGTGACTTACCAGCATTTTCTGAGAGGGAAGAGAAGTCCTCTCTGGGGTAGGAGGCTGACGGTTGGATGAACATGCCTTCATCAAATCCTTCCTCTGGCTCAGGCTGGAAGTTGTAGACAAAACGTCTTGTGGTGGTCTGCTTTTTCCTCCGTCCACTTCCGCCCGCAGCATCGGGTGCCTCTCGCTTTATCGCTGCTGGCGCTGAAGCCGTGCCCCCTGTTGTTGGCTCGTTCCAGACGAAGACCTGCGCCTGGCCACTTGCCGTCCGGGTTTCATTGGTCTCGGCTGAATCGGATGAAGTGTCGTTGTGGTGGGTCCAGCTACCAGAGGCTCCAGGGGGCATCAGGGCACAGCCCTCACCCCCAACCACAGTCACCTCTATGTCATTAGTCTCTTCCTTTACCCTGCCATTAATGTCATCCTCTTCCATTGCATCTTTTCCTTGGTTGCTGCTTGCCTTGATAGACAGTTTTGACAGGATGCTCGTGGCCCAGAAGTTGCTCGGTTTTCGGTCCAGCCCCCTCTGTCCCTCTTTAGCCACCATTTGCCTCTTGTTGTAATCCACCACCACCGACTCTGGAGCCTCTTGCTTAATGCTGATATTAAGGGCATCCTTTATAAAAGCTCTGCACGAGTGAACCACCTCTGTCATTTGGAGGTAACTAGCAACAGTCATCACCTCAATGGCATTTTGGCTTGTGAGCAGCAAATTTCCAGAGTAGAGAAAGTCAAGGATAACCGAGAAGCCCTGCACGGCGGCGACATCCAGGTGTGTGACAGTGGCTTGGTCCTGGGCCTCGCTCTTGGTCAAACAGTAGAGGGTTTTGAAGTAGCGGCTGCCTGCCACCAGGATGTTCTTGTGGGCGCGGAACACCTGGCCTGAGACAACTATGTTCACGTCACAGAGGATTCCACTTTTACGCTGTTTGTCCAACTCTTGTAGAAGCTGGTAACAGTAGGAGTTCTCATGGGGCTTGTTGCGGTAATCTTCCTCTGAGCAGTTAGTGGAGGGGCTGGTGTTCTCCGAGGGCCTCACAGTCTCCTTTTGGTAGAAGGAGAGGAAAAAAAAAAAACATTACTGGAGAAAATGTCCAAGTGTTTTGCAAAAGCATACACAAATAAGTTCTCTTCATCTGTACTTTTGTCTACACAAAACACACACATCCCCTTGACTCCTTGTACACTAGTGCACCTGCCTAAGAGGTGAAACGGGTTTGACAGGCTTGTTAGGAGGGAGGTCAGAATGAGGCAATGAAAGGCATACGACTTTAAGGCTTGGTAGTTAAACAGCCATAATCAAACAGTTTCCTCGATCAATCTTTAACCTCACAACTACAGATAAAAAAGGCAATGAAATGTATTATTATGCTGTTATCTATTCTAAAAGTTAGTTCATACTTTGTCATTATGTCTCAACTAGGTACACTTCGTTCAGTGAATAATTTGGTACTTTTCCCCAAATACCTTTTTGCTATAGCAGGAAACGTTCAAACTTGCTACATCGAATACGATAAAATTAAAGAGTAGAGCTGTAGTGATAGGAAGGCGCACCGGTTATCTTTTACTCAGCTGTTGGTGATTAGTGATACGTCTGACTGAAACCAAACAGTTTAATTCTGTGTAAGCTGCATTGCAAAAACCAAGTAGCAAATATGTGGAAACTTTAAAAGCTTTTAAAATATTTCAAAGCAACAAAACATCACTGTTTTTTTATAGCAAAGAAAAAAAAATGTTTACTTGTTTTTATGACATGCTCCTTTAGATTATTAGCAACATTTGCTGAATGTAAAACGGGACATAAATAGGAATGGAGGAGGACTGAGGAGTGTTGGAACAAAAACACAACCTGCCTGTTGCATGGGAGGAGAACTGGCACAGGCATTGAACTACCCTGTACCACAGCCCACTCACCAGGGTATTCACACAGCAGGGAGGGGGAGGGCAAAGGACCAGCATGATATGGAGCACAAGAGAAGGGAGTGCACATGCATGCATATGCTTACTAAATGCACAGTGTCGTTATAACCCACACAGGTTGAGTCGAGGTAAATCTATACATGCTTAAATAATGTACATTATTATTAAAAAAAAATTTCTATATAGCACAAATAAATGTAGATATATTTCATTGTTTGTCCCACATAATACACACAAGCAGGGCTAACATCTCTGGCACATTTTCGAATTGCGCAGCAGATGTTCTAATCCAGAATAATTCACATTGCTCGAGCCCTGCATTTCTGCACCCACCCACAACCTCCACCGTGCACACACAAGTACACACACGCTGAGAAAATCACGCTCCCCCCCCCCCCCACACACACACACACAGCTGGGGTTTTCATCCTGAGTAATTCAGATTAAATCCATTTCTCAGAGGTCCCCACCCACCACCCCTACTCCCTCCACACTGCAGCTCTTGTCCAGGGCAGCCCAGGCACAGAGGGCCGTATAGGGGAGGAGGGCGCTTATCATCCGCTGCCACAGCTGGAGGGGGAGAGATGGAGAGAGATGGGATGGAGTAAAATGAGAGGCAGACAGAGGGAGATATGGTGCAAGGGAGGGAGGGGGAACATGGCTTTGTAGGCAGCAAAAAAAGGATGAAAAGATTAAATAAAACAGAGTTGCTTTTCTGAGCTTTGATGGAGAAATCCTTGAAACGAGAATAGAAGCAGTAACAATTAACAGAATCAATTAACACAATGCAAATGATCAGAGAACAACGAGAAAACAAGGCAGAGATAAAAAAATAAAAAAAAGTGGAGCGAGGAGAGACAGAAAGTGAGCGTGATAGCGAAGGAGTTGTTGGGTCACCCCGTTTTAGTATTCACAATTCACAATAGCTCATGTTCTCCCTGAGGCTTATTGTCCACTCACTGTGGGCTTTTTGTAAAAAGGCCTGGCACTCACTCTCTTATTACACAGCAGCTCCCACTCACGAGCACAGAAAGAAGCCATGGTGCATGTGGGTGAGGCTAAGAGGCTGAGCGGAGAGGGTGAAAAATTATTCCATGATATACACATCAAAGCCTCTGGAGGGATATGCTCATCCTGTTGAGTACTATACTGGAATATATTGGTGTGGTAAAAGGGCAGGAAGGCGACTTGTATATGTGCTCAGGTTATATCGTCAGTGCTTACACCATTTAGGTTGCTTTACTTTCATTTATTTTAGCCATTTTGGACACCGTTTAGCAATATAGATTAGAAAAACTGTAAATAGGCTTCCTCTGGGGAAATGTATACAATATATTTTTTAAGTTGAGACAAGTCACCCCACATCCAGATACCACAAACACGTATAGCTCTATCCCAGGTGAAATTCTAGGTATGCCACTAAGAGTCAGGCTTGGCCAGCTTGGTGTGGATAAGATGTTTCATACTGGCTTCATCAGCAGCATCATTCCTTCTCCTGATGTGCCACGTATGAGCTGAGAGCTTAGAGGACCAGCAGATCAAGCCTGCACAGCAGATGCTGGAGGTAAAACCTGCCTGAGCCAAGAGAAAATGTGGGGACAATATCAGCCTACCCCAGTAGCTACGTGGCTAAGTTCTTATTTCTGCCAGAGATGAAAAAAGTGGGCAAAGTAAAGAGAAATCCTTTGATCCGGGTAAAAAATATATAAAAAAAAAAATACAGCTTCAAAATGAAAAGCAAGCTGCCAGTGGCTGGATTCAATAAATCTAGGCAGCTATGAATTAATGCTCAGTATCACACTGAATACAGTGAAAACTATACTTGAACTTACAGAAAAGAAACTTTGTCTACAAAATACACCACAAACCCAAACAAACCACAAAGCCCGAAGGCCATCAGATGCATGACAAACATTTAGACACACCTCTTGCAGATCATGTGATACAACTACTGTCTGTGTGCAACATAAAAAAATCACTGGAGCCAGTTTTGTTTACCTTTAAAGCACACAAGCGCCTACATCCCCTCAGTCGTACCCCCACACACTATTCAACCATCCACCCATCCAGTCCTATGACCAACCCAACCCTGAGGCCATCTCCACTAGTTCTTTGCCAAATACTCCTGTATCCTTCACTTTGCCAGCTCACCCCTCCTCACAAAACCCGTCTGTCCCCCGGACACTAGAACAATCTCGCAGTGTGCATTTGGCCTAAGGTGTGGGAGGGCTGCACTCTGTCTCCCTGCTTCCAAACAATGCCGCAGATCTCGGGGGGTGTCACAAGTAGGGTCCTCAATGAGAGGAATTCTCCCTCTGGCTCAACACCACCCATTCCCTTGACCTGTGCCCCCCAATAAACATCCCATCTATCTGCCAGGCACCAGGCTGCAGTGGGTGTGCCCCCTTCCCCATTTGGGGAGTCTGAGTAATCTTGAATGTTTGTCAAATCTAAAATTAAAAGGTGAAAATGACCTAATGATGGCAATTCTGTCCAAACTTCCTTTCTGAGAATCGAATGTAGAGATCTTATCTTACACCGCATTAAGACCAAACGGAGAAAGATCAAGTTTGTTCGGTGCATTAAATTTGTTAGCATACATTTTCTGACTTCAATCCAAGATCTTTGTCCTCGACTGGCAATAATGCATGATGTTGGGTTTTGATGGTAGACATTTAAGAGATGAAAATTGAACAAAAAAAAGATATGAAAGCACAAGAGTGGTTAAATAATGAAGAAGTCCAGCTGTGAAGAACTGAAACCAGTTTCATGTGACAACTCGATGTACGTTTGACCGTTAAAGGAGCAAATGCAAGTAACATGGTAGAAAAGTTTCAGTTATCGTTTCTATAGTTCGCCGTGATGAGAGACTACTCTGAGGGCACCAGTGTGGCTTTGACGCATACTCTGTGTAAGATTTCTAAGAAAGAAACAAGGTCATAGTAGCCTTCCTGAGCCTAACCCATCAAGACAATCATTTCTGAGGTACAAATAAAATTTGTTCATCCTACATATGTTATCTTAATAAAAACAATGATCTACTTTCCCTCACAATAATAACCTTTCACCATTGAGCATTGTAGGGAGCAATCAGAGCACAAGACAGCATGGATGGAATTAAGGACAACGGGCCCCTTCTCCAAGGTTACCCACATTTATTACAGCTGCCTGGGTGTACTGAGGATAATTGAATTAGCTTTAACAAATGCAGCAGAGGCCTGACTAACATCAGGAATGGATGACTAGAACAAGACGTTGCTTTATAATACTATAATTTCCTTTAATGTTCTGCTTCACAATGCAGACAAGCTCAGAGAGCGCTTATATTAACAGTATTATACATCGAGACAAGTTGTGAAAAATGCTGTAAAGACATATTTTCCTACACTTGACAGGCGGAAATAGCTCAAAACACCTCTTAATATAGTGTCTGGGGTCCTTGTTACTAGGGAAAAGACAGACCAAGCCTCTAATCCACTCCTCTTGCTCTCCTTACCAATTAGAGATGCGTACAAGTCAGTGGGTGACTTTAAGTAATTCTGATTAGTGATTGCGTGTACAAAGGAAGGAACTAAATGTAGGAGTGAAATCCTCTTCGCCCACACAGAGTAAAATGGTACCCCGCTCCTAATTCTCCTGACAGCTTGGACCATTGTCAGAACACAGGGAAAGATGCAGTCATGTATTAGAAACAGAAAATTGGTGATTTCTGCAGCAAACAGCATGTCCAAGTCAGCCCGACTTGTTTTTATGAGGTCACTGAAAAAGCGAAGTACCCTCAATAGAATTAAACCAATAAAAAGAACTCATGCATATCAACAAAACCATCCTTCAATTACAAAACAAGCTTCAGCCGGTGCATTTAGCAGGGACCAATATGATTTTATACCTCTTTAAGGCTTAGGATAACCAGATTATTGTAACATGGCAATATAAAAAAGGGTCACGTTTAGCGTCCAAGTATAAAATATACAAAAAATAATTTCGGAACCAACAAATCTGTGAATAACAAAGACAATCAGGCGATGCAGCGTCCTTCTATTATTGACATCTATTTTGCTCATTCGAACCCATTCAAAGGTCGCCTCTGGGCGGGCAAGCAAGCTGTCAGGCTCGAGGTAACATGATTTACTCTGCTCTTCTTGTTCGGCCTTGCAAGTGACACCATCTATGGATTTTGGGGGGTCATTCTAGCACAATGCCTCTAATTTAGCTCCCTAAAGGGAGGAGGAGGAGGTGGCTGTGGAGGAAGCAATGCACCAGAGGTCACTCGTGACTGCAAGGCAGCAGAGTTGCACGAGAGGCGGGGGGTTGGGAAGGGGTGCGGTTCCCCAAAGGCTGTCAGGTCAAACCTTTGCTATCGTGTAACCTCTAACAGGCAGGCAATCAAGAATGCTGCTGATACAACTGCACTGTATTCAACAGCAGCAATGTGATTATTTTAATTGCAGTGTGACAAGCCTACACTCAAAAATGCAACTTGAACTTTAAAATATGTGAAACAAGTAAATCACATAAATATGGCTTTTGTTTATAGATATTATGCTTGTGCACTTTAAAATACTTGGATTTGGTTAAAATCCTTTGCAGAGATGATTCAAATTTTTTTTTTTAGCAAGAGCAGAACTTGATTCTTTTTTATTGCGTGGGTCAAAATGATCTAAATAGAAAATGTATATATAAATATTGTCAGATTTATTTAAATCCACACTGTAGGAGGTAGATATAAATAGGTTAAAAAATGTGTTGTATGAACAAATACTGTATGACACTTGTGTCATCTTGTTAAGTTAAAAGAACCTAGTCAAGTTATATTATTAAGTACAAGAGATGTACTTAACAAGAATTGAATAAAAAAAATTCAGCCTTGCGAGTTAAAGGTACAGACAATATTTTTTTCATATCAAAGGTTAATGTGTCCTTGAATAAAAGAACTTGTAAGGACAACTTGTGAACGTCGGCCAACAAATACAAGCATTTGTTTATCTACAGAACCAGCCAAATTGATAGTAAACAGGTCAACAACAGCGACGTCCATGAAAGAGCTATTCAAGATTTAGAAATATGACCATTTTAATATATCACTATGTATTTACATAGAGGTTTGTAATAATGTACGCAAATAAAACTGCTTTGTTTACACTGAGTGTGGACCTGCATTATAGAATTGCACATCTGGAAAACCACTGGAGTGCTCACATTCAAACTTCACCATTGGATAAAGTTCAGGATAACCTGTTGTATGTTTGATCGCATAGTTTACCTTTCAGCAACAAAAAAAAAAAAACAGTAATAAAAAGGAGTTGAATCATTTTTGAAACAACATAAACGCTTAATTCTGAAATAAATCCTAATATGTATGGAAACACATTTTACATTCTTATTTATCTTGATATTTTTAAAGTGTTCAAACATGCAACAATAAAAAATATCTCCTAAACCTGAACTCAGTGGGTTTATGTTGTACAATCATGTTCCTATTCGAGTATGTCAGTTGATTCTATGGTTTTTATGCTGCTTGTATGTGTTAGTGTACAGCCCTTTGGCCAACGGTGTTGTTTTTAAAGTGCTTTTTAATAAAGTTGTATTATTTTGTATGTTTTAACGTGTAGCTAGCAGGTGTACAGAAGCAGGTGTGTACATGTAACTTGGCATAATTAAAGCAGCGCTTATAATTCAAACTTCTAATGTGATCAGAAAGAGTTGTGTCACCCTAGCTATGAAAGAGGAACAGTTTATTCTCCACTTTCGTCATTATCCATCCACCTCTGGCTAGCAACGCCTCAAGCTGTTAGCTAGGCTAGCGCAGGTTAGCATGCTGAAGCTAACTAATTAGCCCGGGGAAGGGGGGGATTGTGAAGCTTAACTAAAAGCCTATTTTCGCGTTAGTCGTGCTGCAGAAGCTTCATAAAACGCCACCAGAGCCGACGGATCGAGCAGGTGACGTCATAATAAAGTTGCCCGACAGGTATTTCACGTTACGTGGAGAAGTAAAAGGAAAGCTAACGTTACCTGTTTGGTGGGGTCATTTCTGCCGTGCTCAGAAGACAGGTGATGTCTCAGCAGCAAGGCCCGCTTGTAGTTTCGGCTGCCTTTCACGAGCTCGTCGCTGTTTTTAGTGGCAATGTTGTGACACCACGAACAAGACATGAGTCCCGTCTCTTGGCAAAATTTCAGCCACGGAAACTCTTGCAGCCACGAAGCGTGGAATAGCGAGTGTTTCAGGAGCTGCGTCTGCGGTCTCATCTCTACCCCAGATTTCCTGGAGCCCGTCTCGCCGCCCCTCGCAGCGCTCCGAGACCCCTGGCCGTCTTCGTTGCTGCTGCTGTTGTTTGGATCGTTCCCCTCCCCGATCCCGTCGTCTCCTTCGCCGTCCCCGGCTGCCCAGCTTCCCCCTTCCGGGTCCTCTTCTTCCTCCGCGTCGGGCTCCGTGCTGTCGCTGACAGACCCTGCGCCCTCCACTCTCTTCTGCGACGGTCCTTTCGCTCCTAGATCCCGGTCCTCCTCCTGATCCGGCCTATTATTCCCATTAAAATGTCGGTCTTGACAGGCCGGGGCCTCCCAGCTGTTACAGTTCCCCCCTCCGATGCCGCTGGAGCCCGTTAACCCAGCGAATCCACCTCCTCGGAAAGCCAGCGACCTGCGGTTTCTCTCACCGGACATGTTTTTTTCTCCTTCGTCTTAAAACGTATATATTACAATCTTCACTTTCTCAACAGTGTCTCCCTTTCGACTTAGAAATAATTTATTTACAAGCGATGAATTGTCCCGAAAGAGATCGACCGCCGTCGTTTCTTTCCTCCGCTCGGCCCTCCCGGTGAGAGTATGAAGGTTATGCGGAAATAAATAACGCTTTTAAACGCATAATGAATTTCAGGGTTCTCGGTGCGTCCGCGCAGGCCCCGCAGAGGTCGAATGGCAACGACTTTCTTTCCCACAATGCACCTCGAACAGAGAGGGGGGGCGGGGGCTTTGGGGGGAGTGGGTGGAAGGGTGGGGGTGCTGCTGATCAGCTCGGGGTCTTTTGTGTTTCAAGACTGCACCCATTTTCCGCATGCTTTTCATCTTTTTCCACTGTTTCCTGTCCATAAATGTAGACTTGTGTTCCCCTCTTTAGTCCTGGTGCTTAACATTATGACCAGAGCAGTCACGTGACATCACCACACGGGAACACTGTGTGTCAGTTTGAGAACTGGGTTCATACTTGAGTTATTCTTATTCTGCTTCTTATCATCATCATCATTATTATTATCATTATGTTTTTACCATTCATAATATATTACGAAAATAAATGCAGCAGCAGTATACGTGCTTGTATATACATGTCAGTGCATATGTAACAGAGTACTATATTTAATGTAAGCTGTTTTAATAATAAGAATTGGTATATTATTGATCAGTAAATGTAAATACAAGTTTTGCTTCAACCTACTGCTTTTCATGCAGACTGCTTGGTAATTTGGCCAAAATGAATATATATGTTTGGCATTGTTTGGGGGTTTATGTTTGTATCTATCTATCTTATTTATTTATTTATTTATTTATTTATTTATTTATTTTTGCTGTACAGCACTTTGGTTGGCCTTGTTGCCTTTTTAAATGATTGATAGATAGATAGATAGATAGATAGATAGATAGATAGATAGATAGAT